ATCTACCATAGATACGAATGAAAAAGAAAGAGCAAAAGAAGAGAAATGACAAAAAGCTAGAAGGAAATGGTAGATTTAGACAATGCAAAAAGCTAGATCTAAACCAAAATCCTAAAGGAAAGAACAAAAGAAAGAAAATGGAAAAAGCTAGATCTAAATTGAAATCCCAAATCCAAGCACTCCCCAGGGACAATCAAAGGTGCCCCTCAACTCCACCAATGTGGGTGCATGGAATATGAAAAGGGAATACAGAAATGTGCATATCAATTAACCCAAAAACCCTAGTTTATATACAGAAGCGAGTGGTCTGGATTGAAACCAATCTGATGGCTACCAAAATCCCACTATGCTAATATTAATATACGGCATCGTAGCCGTACACTTGGCCCTCACAAATTAATTTTTTCATTAAAAATTTCCAAATAAGTAGCAAGATAAAATATAATAGAAGTTCAAATTAAATCTAAATATAATGATCTAAACTTAAACATGATGACAATAAATATAAAATATAATCCATTATAAAAAAAGTCATTTATGCATATAGCACAAGCTATGCCATTTTAAATATTTTGAGAAAAACTACTACAGACAACTATTATTTAAATGATAATAGTTATTGTTATCCAAAATGCATATGTGATTCTAAAAGCATCATTATTCTATAAAAGTCAAATGGTGAATTTAAGTGATTTATAATTTGTAATATTGTATATACTTAGAATATATTTGGATATTTTGGGAGATTCTACCATCTAATCTTGTATTTATAACTTATAAACTCCTAGTATATTCTAGTTTATTCTAAAAAAACAATTGTGTTTATAAATTATAAACATATAATAATTACTTTTCGGGCTTAAAATTAATTCTATAAGTGATGCTCCAACACCTTAAAATATTAAAAAGTAAGAGTTGAACTATAAACACTCACAACATTGTTATTATAAAGTTCTTTAGTTATTATAAGTCCAACTACATGGTTATTTAGAGTTTATTGTGCAATATAATATACAAATGTGTAGAAGTTTTAATTGAATTACCCATTAATAAATTAGATTAATAAATAACACTAAACATGAACATACTGGTAAAGAATTTAAGTTATTTAAATTATATCTCATTTATTCTACACTAAAAAATATTCTTACCATACATAAAAAAAAAGTGCTCTGGTCAGAGCTTTAGAGGCTTTGGGACAGGCGCACCTCTTGGGGCAGCAGCCTGTAGTCGATCTCCAGCTCCTGGAACGAATCCTTGAGATGGATGAGGAGATCCGAGCGGCGGATCCACTTCTCGCCCGCGTTCTGGTGATTCATTGTGTGCTGGAGCCACAGGGACATCCGGACCCTGTTCATGTCCTCGATCTCGCGCATCACCACGTCGTGCTTGGGATGCCAGTGGTGGAGGTGGCTGTCGATGTACCGCTTGATCCTCACCTTGAGCGCGTCGATCTTCTCGGCAGGGGTGGAGATGTGGAGGCTGAAATCGATGGCGTCGCCCATGTCGGGGCTGCGGTAGAAGTTGCTGATCGGTTTGGTCGCCAGCACGGAATTCGGGTAGTAGATCTTCTCGTTGTCGTAGCGGAGGAAGACGGTGGTCAGGATGTTCATCTCTTCCACCACCATCTGCATTCGCATTTGCGAAGATCATGAGATCCAGTCAAGGCAAAAACAAGGAATTCATTCCAGACCTGGACTCCATCGACCACGCAACGATCGCCCACGTCGAAGGGATGCATCGCAAACAAGAAGATGATGGCCTCGAACACCGTCTTGCATGTGTTGCCAAAGACGAACACCGCTAGAACCAGCTGGGACGAGAGCGCTACGAGCAAGTGCGTCGTCGCGATTCCCAGAATGAGCAGCCAGATCACGAGGATTATGATCCCCATGATCACGTCCGTGATCCGGTGGAGCTTTTTTACCGCCGTCTTGGTGTCATTGAGCGAGAAGGAGAGCGCCCGCTTCTCGCGGTATACATTCACCTAGAGAAGAGAGAGATTAAGAACCCTAAAATATAACAGAGGACTTTAAACTCACCACAAAGTTGACGAGCGATTGCTTACTGATCTTGCCAGTCTCCATGGCGCCATCGAAGAGCGCGAACGCCTTGATCGCGCACTCCTCGTCGCCCAGGAACCTCATGAGATCGACGAGGGAGAGGCAGCGGCATCCCGGGCGAGCGGCATTGTTGAAGATGTGCTTGGCCGCCGCCTTGGCCTGCCAGTCGCCCTCCAATCCGCCGCAACTGCCCCCGCAGGAATCCTCGTCGGAGTCGATGGCGTGCGCCAGCGTCGTGATCCGCGGCGATTTGGCGAGCCGGATGAGCCTCTTCATGTTCCAGGCCGAGACGTTCTTCTGATTCATGCGCTGAAGGTGCTCGATGCTAATGGGGCCGCCACTCTTGTGATCGCCACCGCCACCACCGCCAATGTTCCCGGATTTCTTGAGCAATCGCGGGTCAGCCTCGCTAGATCTCTTGCCAGCCTCGCCGGATCTCTTGAGCAGCTGGCTCGGATTGCCCTGGCTCTCCAGCAACGGCGGCCCCGAGAGAGACTCGAGGATGTACTCATTGAAAAGAGACTCCTGGATGCGATCGAAAAAGGTGTTGACGTGAAAGCTGAGCGCGAGCACCTTGACGAGGAGGATCTTGACGAGCCAGAGCGAGGCGGCGACGAGCAGGCAGATGAGGATCCTGGTGACGATCTCGAGGGCCTTGCGCTCGCGCCGGATGGGCAGCGGGAGGTTTGGATCGAAGAGGAGGCGCCAGGCCAGGAGGATGATCCCAAACCACAGGCAGTTTTGGACGCCCTTGTGGAGGCCATAGACGAAGTAGACGAGGCGCTTGCGCAGGATGAAGTTCCGCTCGATGAAGAAGACGAGGAAGCGGATGATCCAGCCCGAGAGGAGGCGGCCGCTGAGGATGACGAGCGCGAGCACCGCCCAGCGCCAGAGATGGAGGCCCAGGAGCTTGCGGCGCTCGAGCACCGGGATGTTGGTGGTACACACTAGGGCCCCAATGCTGAGCGCCAGAAACCCCCATTCCAAGAACACCCACAGATTCCAGGGCTTGTGGATGAGATCGTCGGGCACGTCCAGTGGATCGTCCTCCGCCGCCCCGGTCGCCGATCCTGCCGCTTGAGCGTCCGGGGATTTGTTGAGAACTCCCGAGGATTTGAGCAGCCCAGACCGGAGAGGTGGCGGCGGTGGATCCCCGAGCCTGGATTTGCAGCGACCGTAGGACGGGATCCTGGAGGCTGCCTTGGCGGAGGATGGATCGAGCGCTCCAGCTTCGGCGGCGTCAGGGTATCGATCGGACGTGGAGCTGGAGCGGCGCCGCAACGAGGCCTTAGTACTGGGTGATTCCCAGAATGTGAGGTCGCCGTCCGCGCCCACGCCCGGATCGAGCTGGAAATCCCCGGATTCCTTCTGGTGCCTCAGGAATTCGCCGATGAGCTTGGTGGGAGGATCGATCGACTGCGCAGCCGAGAGAGTGGCGGGATCGTCTTGGAAGAAATAGCTGTTGCTCCGTTCCAGGGATCCCTCTTTCCGCTCGTCCTCGGCAATGTGGGTGGAATTTCTCGCGAGGCTTGGCTGCCCGGTCGGGGATGGAGCGTCCTCGTCGATCCGGAGAATGACCCTGTCCAGCTTACTCCCAGCATTGGCCTCGCCATTCATCATCATCTCCTTGGCCACAGCACCCATGGATGGATTCCAATCAATCTTTTCCTTGTGAATCCGCGATCGAGTGTCTCCTCTCTCGCGCTCCTTTCGATTGAATCGATCGATAGCGCCGAAATTCCAAGACAGGAGTCCCGAAATCTAGCTCGAGCTCCTGTTCTCCGCGACAAGGAAATAAATGCGAGGGGGGAGGGAGGGGAGAAGATTATTCTATTGCGTGGAAAACACCTAGGCGGACAAGAGAGATCGATCGAATTCTCGTCCCATTCCACGCAACGCCAAGGAGAAAGCGATCGATTTGGACGGATTATAATGAAGAACACATGAGAGCGCGAGTGCGCGAGTGCGCCTGCTTGGTTCCCAGGCGAGGTGTCAACGAAACGCAGATTTTGCGGTCAATCTTTCTCTCTCGGCAATTGGGTAGATAGATACATTCGCCGCCCCGCACGAAAACCAACTTCGTACGTGGCGCCACGCCACCCCTCCACGTGTCGTTATAGAAAGCCACTTTTTCCGATCAGGCGAATATGCCGCACGATGGTTGCCGGTTGCCAAATCCAAAGAAAGTTCCTCGGTTAAAGTTCTCTTGGTGGAGCCTAAGAATTTGGGTGATTTCCAGAGAGAAAGTTAAAAAGAAGATACGATGAATATGGAGGGGTCAGATTGGTTAACGTGGATGGCAGTGTGAAAAATGTGAAACGTCCAACCCTTTGGAAACACATAGCCTGGGACTACCCCCAGGGACAAAAAGGATTGTAAAAATTCAATAGCAAAGTTACTTCTTACACCATTGTATTCTATTTCTCTGACTGGAATTGCATTGTCTCGTCAACAAGACTTGTATCATCCCATGTCAAAGAGACTTTCTCGAAGAATTCTTTGGCCTTCTCCCTGCTGCGCGACTGAGATTGATGTGACAAGAAGAAAAAGCGTTGGTTTGTTGCCAGATGTTGTCACGAAGTCAGCAAATCCAGGCCCTACGAATGGCTTTGGTATGAGGATCCAAAAGGGGAAAGGGGAGTCAAGAGAGGTCGTCATGCGTGATCTTGCAAATAACAGCTTCAGATTGACAAATTCCACAATCTCAGACACGAACACTTTCAACACGCGATCCAACCCTTGGTGTATGGGGTAGCCGAATTTAAAAGAGGAAAAAAAGACCTACGTATGAAGATCAATGGAAGAATCACAAGCGGCTCCACAAGAGCGCCAGATCCTTTTTCACTCCACGAGGAACTTCCTCTTGTTTTTATCAAGAATCTGCGACAAAGCTTTTCTGAGTCATGGCCATCTCTCTAGGTAGGCTAGCAGCACAAGTCATTTGCGGTTGATTTCCACAACGTATCCGTCTTCTGGGATTCGCAGTGGCCAGTTTCTTATTGCCCCGTTTGGAGCTTTCGGCTTCCAGCTGCGAGAAGGAATTGGAATTGTTTTTTCTTTTGATGGGAAACTTAATTACCTGTACTGTGTTACTAGCCTGTGAAAGAAAACGAGGATTTCCAGTTTAGCAAGCTCGGCACCAGGACAAGTTCGCAAACCGCATCCAAATCCAATGAGAGTTCCCGGTTTTTGTGGAACCTGCGGAGTATGGTTAAGGTTTTCTTCGTAGCAAATCGAAAGAAAGTTTTAGTACGAGGAATCTGGAGGGGTCAAATTTATAAGGATCAGCGAAATAATCTTCGTTCAGGTGGATGGCAGTGTGGAAAATGTGAAGCGTCCATCCCTTTGGAAACACATAGCCTGGAATCCATTGAAAACAGGAGGAGCAAATTTTATAGCAAAACCACTAAGAGCTGCTTACCATTGTACTCGACAGCGTGTTTCATCTCTCTGACCAGCATTCCTCCACTTGCCAATCTTAGAGTCTCCTGAAGAACACGCATAGTCACTGGCATTCTTCTTGTATCCTCCCATGTCAAGTGAGGTTGCTCTCTTTCTCGAAGAATTTTCTGGTGTTCTTCCTGCAAGCGCGAACAATTAATATAAAAGAAGAAATGTCTTTTGTAGGATTTACCACAACTTCCTTCAAGATTTCGGGATTTTCTTGCAAGCGTTTCATCATCCACACGAGCGTGAGAGGAGTAGTGTGCTGCCCTGCAAAGAGCAAACCAACAATATTGTCCTCGATCTGCTGGTTTGTTGAGTTGAGGTCCTTGTCATTCATGAGCTTATGCAAGAGGTCGTCATGCGTGATCTTGGAAATCCTCCTCTCGTTTATCAATCGATCAAGGTGATAGTGAAGACGTTTCCGAGCCTGGATATGGTTTCAAATCAGTTCGCAAAGAATTTCTCCAAGACTTACCTGAAGCGCTCGATGGTAATCAGTAAACGGGAGATTTATGGGAAGCTTAAACAAGCCTCTAGAAGCCACAGTTACATCGTGCATGAAATCTCCCGTTTTGGTTTGAAAAATCCGCGGGTCATCACAAATAAACGCGGTGACAACGTCGAAAGTTAACTGCAAGAACAGAAAGAGCTTAGAACTGGCAAAGCTCACAAATCACAGATACCTGTAGTGTTTCTTCCAAAACGGTAACACATCCCTTCCGTTGCCAAGAAGTCAATAAGTCCATAGCAATCTTGTCAAACCTTTGGACATGATTATTGAGAGGATCACCACTCATGGAGCTCAGTATTGCTCGGTGATATCTTGCATGTGTTGCTCCTTCCACATGTCCCACACTTTCTTTTCCGACAATCAAGAAGCCCGAGTTTGAAGGGGAGCAACAATTCCTTGCTCCAGGATTTGTGAGGAAAAACTTTACAGCTTCGGGAGTACTGATAACAATACTTTGACGTCCGAACAAGTGAGCCGAAAAAATGTCCCCAAATCTGTTGGGAATGGCAAACGAAAACACAAAAAGCTTGAAAGCTGAGAAAGAAAAGAGAAAAATTACCTCTTGCGACGCTGGAAAACGAAATCCTCAGCTGTGCCTCGCAGAAGTTGTATTGTCTCGCCAAGAATGGGCCAGCCTCGATTGCCTGGTGGTGTTTGCACGGAGCCACTCTTTCTTTTTGACGATATAAGGAATGCAGCCACTGCAGGGATCACAAGCAGCAAGTAGAGACTCCACAGCGCCATAACTTTCCTCCTTAGAACCTGATAACTTCGTCTTAGTTTTATCGTTTCCAAGCGTGCACTCGCAATGTTTCGGACAAAACGAGGACTTCATAACTTTTTCCGTTTTGGCGATTTCTCGAGGTAGCAAATGCCGACAATATTCATTTGTCATTTACTAATCCAATGGGAATCTGGATGAACTTCTATCACCTGGCTCGAGCAAGCTATTAACTTCATTTTCCAGCTAATTATATGATGGATCGATCATAAAACAGCTTAGCTTCAAAGCAAGTGTTTTCGGAACCAAGCTATAAAGTTTTTGTGAGCCTCCTCCGCATTCTTCACAGTGCTTCACATCAGAGTCAATTTGGAGTCAATTCGGAGTCAAATGCGAGTTGAGTGGGACTCAGTGAAGTGGATTTGGAATGACATGGTGTGCACAATTCAAAATTGCAAAACACTGCATTACATGTCATTGGCATGTTTGTCATATCATCATTGCCGTGAGATCAAGACGTGGAAGTGTACTTCATAAGAAAGAAGAAAGAAAAGAATTACATACTAAGGACTTAAAAATCATATGCAATCAACTTACTCGATGTCCTCAAGCACAATGACCTGTAGAAAAGTTAGAGGTGTGACCATGAGCTGTGGTTTAATTGGCAAAACCACAATTACTTGCAACACATCCTGTGGGAGCTGGTTCATTCATGATAAGTCTTGCAATATATATTATGACATATAATTCTCTTAAGCATTATAAATCATGAATTTAAACACAATATATTTTTGATATAATTTTTAATATTGTGAGTGTTTGGGATATAGGAATAGGTATTTTGGTTTAGACCCCTGCTTATATACAAGAATGGATGGACTAAATTCAGTCCTAAATGGAAAGTCTATATATTATAGTATTATAATTAGTGTATTACCTAATAAATGTATATACATATATATATATTTATAAACCTTACCCCATCTTAAAGATGAAAAAGTGATAACAATAAATTAGGTGTGTGAGTGCATGGAATATGGAAAGGGAATATAGAAAATGTGTATATTAATTAGCCCAAAAACCCTAATTTATATACAAGAGCGAGTGGTCCGGATTGAAACTAATCCGATGGTTACCAAAATCCCATTACACTAATATTAGTATACAACATTGTAGTCGTACACTTGGACATTATATCATCCCCTCCTTAATAATGGAAGACCATCAAAGTTCTTTTGTAGATGGGCCAGGATCTAGAGGAATGTCAAGAGGAGGCATTGGTAGATTTGTAGGTGGTATCAGTTGTTCTTGATCCCTTTGTATGAAGCATTTCAACTGCTACACATATATAATTTCTGGAGGATTGGCTTACTAGATGTTATGCCAAACCTCATAAACTTGGAGTCCAACTTGCCATAACACCTGATATGATCCCTTCCATTGAGCAAGGAGCCCCTTAGATAAACCATGTACTGTAAAATGGGGAAGATGAATTAACACCAAGTCATCCACTTTGTACTCTGCAAGTGGATGATGATGAGAGTTGTAGCGCCATTGTTGTCCTATTTGTATGCAACCTAAGTGTTTAGCAAACTCTATTCGGACAAGTGGAAGAATGTTCGTCAAATACTAATCCCACGACCTAGCATCGGTAGCTCGTGGCAATTGCGAAAGTAAACCTAGCTCCATTGGTAATATTAGATCATGACCATATAAAAGTTTATATGGTGAAGCACCAACAAAACTTTTGCACCCCTGTGATATATGCATAACGAAGAGACAGCAAATAACCATCCCAATCTGAATGCTGAAAGTTCACATACTTTGTGATCATTCCTTTGAATGTCCAAATGAGCCATTTCACCAAACCATTTGACTGTGGATGATAAGCACTTGTGAAAGTGTGGCATATCCCCAACCGAGATGTCAAAACATAAAATGCCTCAGCCATAAATGTGGGGCCATTATCTGAAAGAATCCGCTCCAGACAAGAATGTTAGAATACCACTCAATTGATGAGGAAATATTCAACAACAGTTGCAGAGGCGCTAGCAAAAACATCAACTTCCACCCAACAAGTCAAATAGTTAGAAACAATAATAACATATTCATCACTAGTAGTTGATCGTGGAAAAGGTCTTATAAGATTAAATGCCACTAACTCAAATGGACGGGAAATTGCAATGGACTCCAACTGTCCTTCTGCGACATGAGGGGGAGTATTACAAGCTTGGCATCAAATGCAACTATGCATATACCGGATAACATCACGTTGCATTTCCGGCCAATAGAAAGACCTAAGTAGCTTCTTGGTCATACGACGATGTTCTATATACCCGCCTAGAATAAGAGAATCATGGTAGGTATAGAGAAACCGTGGAATAAAGATGAAAGGCACCACCAGCAGTAAAGGATCATCAAAATTCATCCCCACAAAATAAAGAAGGCCATTTTCAAGGCAATATTGAGAATGTAAATGCCAGAATGACAAATCATCAGCAAATGATGTAACCCATCTCGAAGCCTTCGAATCCATGACTCAATCTTTTGAGCCTCACGAACCTCATCAAAAGAAGATAGATCTTGCTCTGCATTTTGTGGACACTGAATATCAAGTATAGCAACTGCCAGCAGTATAGAATTCTCTTCTAGAAAATCCATAGATGTTGGAATAACAAGCTCGTCAGAGACATGAGAAGAGAGTGGAGAAGGAAGAGGAGCTCGAAAAAGGGCATCAGCATTAGCTATAGAACTCCCTGGGCAATGAATAACATTAAAATCATATATTTAAAGCTTTAAAGCCCACTAAGTAGTATGACTAACTATGTTCTTTCACTTCAATAATGAAGTAATAGCAGTATGATCACTTTCAAGTAACGTCCAAAAACTATGTAGATATGCATGAAGTTTTTTAAAACCCCAGACTGCTGTTAAACACTCCTTTATCACAGTCCCTTGGAGATATGTGGGAAACTCATGCAAACGTCGAACATCATCCTAAAATTGATATGTGGTAATCACTGTGAAGTGATTGAACCAACAGGACACATCATCCCTAGGATTCTTGCGAAAGAACTCCAGCCGAACGTGAGGATTGGCACCAAGAGCAAAAGGAGTTGTACCATGTGCCGTGAATACTGCCATCAATTGAGTTTAGTTATTCAATTGCAATTTCATAACATCAAGCAATTGTACCAACTGCTATTCCAGAGTCAAAGGAGGAGGAGATTGCTGATTTGCCATGAAGATGAACAAAAAAGAAAGAGCAGAAGAAGAAAAATAATTAAAGAAAGTTAGAAGGAAAGGGAGATTTAGACAATGCAAAAAGTTAGATTTAAACCCTCTATGTGCCATGTGTTATATGCCATATGCCACATGTCACATGCCATGTGTCCAATAATAGTGAAGAAAAACCTAAATTTTAAGTCTTTAGCCATTGAATGAAGGAATGGAGCCAAATTCTTAAACATAAAGCTAAGGAGCAAAGAAATCAGAGCATAGAACAACTCTCAAGCATTTAGCCCAAGGAGCGAAGGGATAAACAGTCTGTGAGACACAAAATCCCTAGGCCCCAAAGTGGAGCCGGAAAGGGTGCCACGTGGCAGTGGCTGAAGCGAGAGCCAAACAAGCGTAACACGTTTGGACCAAAAGCTCCGACTTGAAAAGTCAAGAGCGGGAGTGGAACTCCCAAAGAAGGGCTCGAGGAACGAGCACGAAGCGAGCAAAAAGCGAGGCTCCAAAAAGGGACCCAAAAGGACCAACACATGACACGTGGGAGTGTTCGAGATGGACCCGAGTTGGAGTCCGAAGTGGAGTCCGAGATGGACCCGAGTTGGAGTCCGAAGTGGAGTCCGAGATGGACCCGAGTTGGAGTCCGAAGTGGAGTCCGAGATGGACCCGAGTTGGAGTCCGAAGTGGAGTCCGAGATGGACCAGAGTTGAAGTCCGAAGTGGAGTCCGAGATGGACCCGAGATGGAGTCCGAGGTGGACCTGAGATGGACCCGAGTTGGAGTCTGAAGTGGAGTCCGAGATGGACCCGAGATGGAGTCCGAGGTGGACCCGAGATGGACCCGAAATGGAGTCCGAGATGGAGTCCGAGGTGGACCCGAGATGGACACGAAATGGAGTCCGAGATGGACCCGAGATGGAGTCCGAGATGGACCCGAGATGGACCCGAGATGGAGTCCGAGATGGAGTCCGAGATGGAGTCCGAGATGGAGTCCGAAGTCGAGACCGACACCGGGACCGAGACCGGGACCGAGACCGAGACCGAGACCGAGACCGAGATCGGGACCGAGACCGAGACTGAGGCCGAGACCGAGCCCAAGCCCAAGTCCGAGTCCGAATCCGAATCCGAGTCCGAGTCCGAGTCCGAGTCCGAGTCCAGAGCCTGAGAGGGTGAAAGCCCAAAGCGTTCGTCTCCCAGACCCTGGGGGGTTTGGTGAGCTCCAAAAGTATAGTAGGGGGAGGACTGCAATGGAGCCAGTTTGGCCAGGAAAGGCCAGTTTGGCCCAGGAAGGCCAGACCCAGTGTTGGGTGATGAACTGACCACTGGGAAGTCTAAGACTAGAGTGAATACGGACCGACAAGCGGGGTAGCTTGGTGAAGTGTTCAAGAGCCGGCTCTAGTTCCCCCGGGAGATCGACTGGCCGATGCTCCCAGTCCAAGTGTGGGTGGCACTACCTACTTGGATACTAGGCGTGGCTCAATGGAACCTTGCTCTAAGCCCATGGCTAGAGCACCTAAAGGCGAAAGGCGGGGAGAGTACCCAGGTGGCTCGCGTAAGGCCACGGTGTTCCGAAACGTTGTCCCAAAGGCCTAGACTGTGGAAAGGAAGAGGAGCAGTCCTCTGGGGTAGTGACCAAGGACACAGTCAGGTGGTGAGGAAGTCCCAGAGGACCATGGGACTTAGGGGTCGGGCCTGTGGGTCTCGATCCAGTGCCAGTGTTAGCAAACACGGCCAGGGGCAGGAAGGGACTTGGTAGGAACTGACAAAGGGACTTTGGGGAAGGCAATTCCCCAGGTCTGTGGGCATCCTAAGGATGCTAAGGAGTGGATCTAGTATGACCACTCGTGGACAGATGGCCCAGTCTTGGAGAGACGGGATGGTGATGCAAGTGGTATTGGACCACTAGTGCAGTAGAGGCGAATGGGCATGGCCTTAGCGTAACGGGCCGAGATGTTAGTGGTACCTTTGGGTGTCGGTCTTGGGATCGGACACGTGGAGCACTTGGACCAAGTGCAAAGGTTGAGTGGCATGGATGCCATTCTCGGGGCTAGCAAGCCCCAAGTCCTGAATGGGACTTATGGAGGTTGTGAATGAGACTCCTCCAAGTGGTCGGAGGTGTGGTTAAGTGACTAAAGTAGAATGGAAAAAATTAGTCGCTTACACAGTCTTAGAGCTTCCAACATCCTAATGTTAGGACTAACACCCAAAACAAAGCCAAACAAAATTTAGTATTATTTCAACATACTAGTGGCTTAACGCAATGATATGAGTACTCCACCAGTTAGTATGGTGTGGAACTTGGGCTTAGACCTAAGACAGATGCAAAACAAAGACAAGCATGCAAACAAGAACTAAACTATACCTCAAGTTGGTCAGCCATGCTTAACCTACCCACCATCTCTACTATCTTACTATCCTTATTATATATTTAGTACCCCCCCCCCCCCCCCCCCCCCTTGGTTTTTAGGAAAGGAGACTTTGGGCTTTCCCCCTTAGTACCAAGAATTAACCTCTAGGACACGTTTGAAACTTATTAAATATGGAATGATGTTAGATTGCAAATTTGGGCACAAGACCAACACCATTGTGTCCAAAAAAATCTCTACATTCTGTAGATATGCCAAATTAGCAAATTTAAACACTTTCCCTAAATAATAATTAAGACCAAATAGGACAAACACATAGTGTTTGGCAGTAAGCTCTCATCTGGCAAATATTAAGAGACTAAGCTTAATATCATGGGGGTTTTTAATACTAGCAAATGCAAGCCAATATATGAGTTTCTCATACTGGGCCAAGTATGCTTAGCAAGAAACACATAAGAGTTTCTACTTTATGTTTATTTGGTAAAAGTATATATATGATGACCAGTTTCTCAACTAGTTTAGGTCGAGATTGATAAAGGGTCTAGCAATACTAATTTCCTGCTGTTGTGGCAATAAAGAAAGAATATTTAAAAGGATTACTTGACAGATAATTTTTGATACTCACAATCACATTTACGACATCAAGGAAACACATAAACCCTTAAACAACAATGATAAAATAAAACTCTCAACAACACTCATAATTAGGGACACACATTCAACTTGAAGCTCTGGCCAAAGTAATTCAACCTTTGGAATAAGGAATACTCGATACCAGAATTAATAAAATACTCTATCAAATAAACAAAAACAAGATTCTCAACTTTACATATATACTCAACATCTAGATTAATATGAGAAGGATAGAAAACACTATTGTATAATTTCAATTTTAGGGTTTGAAATATACTTTATTCAAGGATATATTATATTTTAAGTAACCATTAATCAATTGAATAGAACACATGCTATTAGCTCCAATACCACATATAACACACCCTTCTCTCTCTCTTTAACCCAATTGGAAAAGGGATAATTACTTGATGAGAAAACCCTTAATAGTTATTTTATCCTATAATGACAATATATCCAAATTTTATCCCATTATCATATGCACTACAGAAAGTGGCTTAGACCAAGAAAAAGTTAGAAAAGAGTAGAAAGTAAAGAGAAACGATCAAATAATAGATAAAAAGATTAACACTTACCCCATGAATTCTCTAACTCATCTCCAAAGCTATCTCCATAATAATTAAGTTCTTTATCACAATTTGGAATCCATTCAAACTTGTAAATATCGTATTCCCGATCTTTAAATATTCTTCAAGAACCAGACTAGATCATCTATAACTCATTAATCAATATTACGATCACACTCCATATTAATGAGAGATGGTAGAGCACCAAGAACAAGACAAACCATATAATCACATCCTATAGAAGTTAGAGACAACAACACACCAAAGATGGGCAACACCAATATGAACACACCCCATAACACCAAAAGCTCAATCCAATGTAGTACTATCAACAGCCTCAAATGACATGCTCCTTGATTGATGACGGTGTGGCATGGTAAAAGAAGATAATAAAATAAAGATCACAACAATAGCTAGAATTTTAGATCTTGCAAAAAGCTAATACAGATTTAAATTTAAAAAATAATGAAAAATTTAAAACAAACAGCATAATCCCAAACACAAGAGCAAAATATTGTTAAAAAGCTTTGCCCTTCAAAGACAAATTGTAGTGCTCTTCATCTCCACCAATATGAGTGCTTGGGATATAAAAATAGATATATTATTAAGGTTTAAACCCCTTCTTACAGACAAAAATTGATTGACCAAATTCAGTCCCAAATGGACAGTATAATTAATATATTACTTAGTCAGGGTAATACATGTATATATATACATGTATTTATAAACCTTACAACATATAATTCTCTTAAAACATAAAATTTTTTTGGTTTGCTTAATTGAAACTGTAGGGTAGTGGATATATCTAGAATAGGCTTAGATATTCTAGGATATTCTACCATTTAATAGTTGTTATTCATTTAGGTTGTATTTATAATTTATAAACTTTTTTACACACTTGTTAGTATATTCTTATTTATTCTACCATCAAATGGGTGATATGCAATGAGCTTAATCTTTTTTTATAAATTATAAAAATGTTTGTAATTATTGATTAATTATATTATTAGATTAATAGTTCAATAATAATGACACTACTATTAAGAAAACCAAATGTTGCTGCATGTAGCACACAGAGTTGTTATTCTTAACATAGATAGTTATTGTGATTTCTATTAAATTCTATTATCTGTATTCAATTTTTTAAAATGTGCTATTATATCAAGCCCATTATAGGTAGATTTTAAACACAAAAAGATATATATTTCATAGAATATTTATTGTTAATATATTTAATATTTTCAATTTAGATTAGATATATAACTACAATGAAAAATATATTAGGTTCTTCTTATAAAAGGTATATAAAAAGCACTTTTAAAAATTTTAGTGGTTTTGTTAAGGCAATAGATACACAATAGCTTTGCCAAGGTACACAGTGGCTTTTAGCACCATGGTTCCCATACTAAGGCCATGGATCTAGGCAGCCTTGAGTGCCATAGGTGACATGGTTACATTGAGCTAGCTCTAATCCCTTAAGGGATGTTAGGAATTTAAATGTTTGGTGTGTTTAGTTATTTACATTTGTGAAGAATGTAACTAAACCTTAAATCCAATCTAAACTAAGGAGGGGAATTGAAAGAGAGTTTATGAACCCATGGAGGAATGATTAACATTTTGTTGCTTGTGTAGTGAGTGGTTAAATCCAAGTAGAATTAAGTAAGAGCTAGTATAATAGATATGAACTTTGGCAAAGAAACTTAATTAAAACCAAAATAAAGGTGGTCAGACAAATGAGGTAAGTTGGCAAATTAAAAAATGAAAACTTATGATTTATATCATAGTGTTATGTTAGTTAAAGAACATCATCAAGGGTGCTAGGGCAAATGTATACACAGGCCTTACAAGATCTTGATAAAGTGTTGTTCATGACATGCCTAACTTAATGCACTCATGGGGTGATTTTGATATTTGCATGAGTTTCTTGTTTTCAAAACATAGCATTGTAGTGGTACAATAGTTTGCCTGTGGCCACTTTTTTTGATGGAAACCTTCTAAACATTTTCAAGTATGTATTTGGACATGTTAATTATTATACAGATGAAGTATATTTTCTTCATCAAGGGACTGTTTGAGTCCATTATGCATTTTTGTGTTTTTCAAGACTTCCAAAGAAGAAATCCAAGGATTAGTAATAAAAGTAGAAGGAACTATACTATATATTATATATTGCTATTAGTTGTATTTGATTGTCCAATTGAAATAACATAACATCAAATAATTAAACCAACTACTGCTCTAAAGTTAAAGGAGGAGGAAGAAATAGAAAAGCTATGAAAACAAGAGAGATTTAGCCTATGCAAAAAATGAGATTTAAAAAAAATTCAAAAATCCAAGTACTCCTCAAGGATAACCCCTCATCTCCACTAATATAAGTGTATAGAATATAGAAATAAATGAAAGCCATATTTGTATAGTATTACACTATATAAACTAGAAACACAAAAATTTCCTCTAAAGCACTACAACTCATGGCTGCTAAAATCCCACTATATTAATAATAATATATGGCATTGTATTTGTATACCTAGACCTCACACTTTATTCATAAATAAACAAAGAAATAATATTGTATGATAACTTAATTGTCCTACTTTCTAACATAACCTAAAGGCAAATATTGCTAATATAAATTTAAACTTATAATAAAATTTAGTATTAATTTATGAAAGAGATTTATAAGTTAAATTTTATTGCATCAGGACCTAATAAACAGTGTTTTTGCACCTACCACCTGAGACAAGTCGTGGAACTCGAAATTACTTGCCTGTATGACCTGCCAATGCAGATGGAATGACCTGTCAGTGGCTTTAAATGCTCACGCGGAGATTTGCTCTTCACCGCGTGCAAGTCAAACTCACGAGAGTTTTAACTTGGATGCACAGCTTGTCTGAAGAATTATCTTTTGAGGGCCCATTCATGTCGTCTCCAACTGTAGCAGCACAAAAAAACCTCCTCGTTGCCACGCTTGTGCTTCTTCTCGTAGCGATTTCTAGCGGGAACACCAACAGCAAATCACCCGTGGTATGTATGAAAATCTTCCAGCTTACCTAAGATGTTTGATGGTTTTCCAGAGCAAAGGCAGGATGTTTCGCCAAGACTATCCCGATGTCGATCCAAGCCCTCGGTCATGGGTACCAGTGAGACCGGGAAAAGTCTCCTACAAAAGGCTCGTTCCTAGCCCTCCTCCACCTCCAAAAAGTTCGCTCTCGCCTCCGCCGGCACCAAGTCCTCTCCCGGAACCACAGGGACGTCGGAGGACCAAAAGGACGTTGCCAAGCTCACGAAATTGACGTCTTCACCAGCCAAGTGTATCAGAGTTTCCAGTCGTAAAGCCAACGAGTGATTGCAGAGCCAGCCTCGCTCCTGACTTGTTCCAATGGATTTTTTGGAAATTCTAAGTCGAAGTTTCCTTCTTCCGGCTTGAATTACACCTAGTCATGCTGCGACACCTCGAAGAGCTTGCCTGCACAGTCGTCTTCCGGCTTGAAAGATACCGAGTCCACCTCAAAGAGCTTGTCTGGACTGTCGTATCCTTGGTTGTATCCGACCTCCGAGATATCAAACCGCCAGCCGACCTGAGTTCTTCTTGATCTGAGTTCTTCGCAGTCGAATGGCCGTCGTCTTCAAGCTGTGAATCGTTTCCATCTATCGAATGCAGTCCCAATGTATCCTCGTGACTTCAAAGCTCAATTTTTCTTCTTCCGGAATATAGCGACGAGAGTAAGTCCTGGAACAGCTGGCCTGGACTCTGTCTCGATACTCTGGCTTGAGAGATCTACATTCCGGAGCCGTCCAGCACTCCATGCCGATCTTGGCATCTCCTTGACGTTCCAGTTTTTCAGGTCTGAATCTCCGTCGGCTGTGAATGACTCTCAACATGCCCCGCCCAATCTGCATTATTGTCATCCGGAACTCCACGCTAATTCCGTCATCTCCTGGATATTCCAGTTCTTCAAAGTGAGAATTTCTTTTGTCTTCAAGCAGCAAGGGACTTCAAGTGGAAGTAGTTTATGGCCTTTTTGCTCGCACGAGATGGCCGGATTAACGACTCTAGGAGGCCTGGAAAATAAAATTTCCGGATTTCTAGATTTTGGGAGAATCTGTTTTTCCCAAGTGCCCAATGAACTTTTGTACCATTAAAGAATTCTCAACTGGATACAAAGAATCACAACATGATGTGAATATCGTTTCTTTATACATGGTTTTTTAATATTTTTTTTATATGTTTTTCATGTAACTCTCGCAAAAACTATATAGTTTGAAGAAAATGAAACTAGGTGAACCAATTATGCATATAGTTTGCATATACATGTTTTGACATGATTTTATCAAAGCATAGTTATAAAACTAGAAATGAATCTAGTTATCAGAAGTATATTATATATTTAATAATTTGCTGTGTGTTGCATGCAATAAAGTTTGGTTTGCTTATTAATATTTCTTCTTAGTTATTAATCATATTGATCAATTGAAAATTTCATAGTTATGAACATATTTATAATTTGGATTAATCTTAAACATTAGAATAAACTAGAATATACTAGAAAGTGTTTAGGAATTTTATAAATTATAAATACATGATTAATATAAATAAATAAAAACCATTAGATGATAGAATATCCAAGAATATTTTAGGTATATCCACTACTATATTTAAGCAAACAAAAAATGAACCTACTTTTTACTGTAGTTAAAATATGATTATTGCCTAAACTTTGAAAGACACTTCATTTATTTTATTTGAAGGGCTGAGATTAAAGATGCCCTTCATGTTGCAAGGTTCAAATAAAAAATTACACTTCTTAAGAAAGGTAGAAAAATATTTTAACTATCAAAACAATATGTATCAATTAATTACTTGTGATGATAAATCAATTTAGGATAACAACATTAAAATTTCTGTATGGTTATTATGATTATTCTTATAGCATGGTAATAAAAGACATAATAAAATTTTCCATCCAAATCTGTTAATTATTGTAGAACATTTAAATCACCATTAAACACATATAACTCTACCACCAAATTTAGCCATTAATTACCCTTTTATGGCAATAAATATATGGTTATGCATGGGAGCATTATATATTTACATATATGCAAATTTGTTTTTTTGGTTTTAAGTGTAATGCACATTATCTCTTTCCCCTTAAACCAACTGGAAAAGGGATAATTGTTTGATAAGAGAACCCTTAGTGGCTATTTTATCCCCATTTATCCCCCAATGTTCTAAAGATTCACGGTGACAGTATATCCAAATTTTATCCTATGATCACATGCACTACATTAAGTTACATGCAAAAATATTATGCACACAATCACATTTCAATTGCTATATAAGAAAATGAAACATGATTATGTGTATAATTTTTTTATAATGGGATATGCCATGGAGCATGACATCTTAGATTGTCATGCAAGACATCTCAAACAACATAAAATCACCACAAATTTAGCAAGGCTTTTTCAGTTTCATTCTTGTGTTTTTTAGTGTAAATTTGTGATTTTTTAATTGTGATCAATCTCTCTCCTCTTTTGCACATTATATCATTTGCCTTTCATTTCACATGGCTATGCCTCATTTCCCATAGCTTGGAGGTATATTCAATTGTAACATGCACTAATGTAAGTATAGTGCTTTGATTGCTCTTTCAAGTGCTTTTTATTTATCATGAGTTATTTGCAACAACACTTTAATTTAGATAGCGATTGATTAGTGTAGAGGTGGGCGTGATTGATTAAAAGTGCAAAAGTGAGTGTAAAATGTTTTATTGAATATTTAAGGTGTTGAATGCAATGGTTTTTCTGTGAGAAAGTGGATCTTTTTGTCAATACAATAAAACATCAGTTTTATTGATTTTTCACATTCTTAATCACACATACATATTTACAATGATTTGTTGTGCTTGGGCATGTTAGTTTGTTATACTAGAAGGTATTTGGTGTAGTTTTATTATTTTTACTGATATATAAAATTGATATGAGTTTTGGTAAAAAAAAAAAAAGTGAAACTGATATGCATTTTATATAGTAGTTTTACTTCATGGTTTTTCTTACTAGTTTGATATGTAGTTTATAACAGTTATTTTATATACTAGTTCAACATATAGTTTGATATATAACATTTCTAGTTCATTACAGTTTTGTAGGTTCCCTACTGGCATCGTGGAGGAGATAAAGTTCCAGTGCCTTATCTGAACCCAGCCGCTGTAGGCCAAGAGTTGCTTTGTTCTTCAGCTGGTTCAACAGTGTCACGTCGTCTCACCATCTCAGCCAATAAGCGCTGCATACGAGCCTGCAGCTTCTCATTAGGCAGGTGACTGCAAACAGACACGTCAGTGGAGAAGCAAAGGAATATTTCATTTTCTTACCTTAGTTCTTCCTCCTCCACTTCAGGAGCCCCACTCACGCGGCCTTGCAACTTGATGAAGGCGTTCCGCCTCCAAAATGCTCTTCTGGCATCGTCGGGCCGCCATGATAGTACTTTATCACCAACGACGACTCTTAGCATGGCCTCCATAAAGAAATGAGACTCCGGACTCGAATAGCTGGAGTTCCCAGTTGGTAAGGGGTACCACTAGAAAGAACAAAGTACAAGATTGAATTGCGCAAAATTAAATTGACCATACCTTTTCAGCGATATAGAAGTCCCCCACAAGGTATTTGTTCGTGGGATATCGCTTGGGATGATAATCATTCCAAAGTTCCAGTTCTGCGATTCCATCGTCAAGGGACTTGATCAAATCCGATTCGCTCTTGGGCTCTACTCCTTTCTCGTCGCAATGTTCTGCAAAATACTGATGAAGAACAAGGTTTCAGGCACAGCCTCATCATGTACCGGTATAGCGAAGATACGAGGCTGGCGAGATTGTGTTTTCGGAGACTTCCACGAGGCCATGCACGTCTAGAACACCATACGTGTAAGAGGAGCCACCAAAGATAGGAAGGTAGACTGGGTCGTAGTGGCCATGGGCAATGTTGTGCCGAACTTCGACTCGGCCATACCCAACATTCTGTGAGCATAGAAACTAAAATAAGCAAAAGAAATGAGAAAAATGGAAGCCTGCACCTGAAAGACTGCTTGGTCGCATTCATTTGCCTTACACTCAGCGATGAAGGGGCACAGCTCGGACTTCAGTTGGCCCTTCTTCCTCTTGGATAGCTTTGGATCTTTGAAAACGCAAGGCTTGTGTGTCCTGAACTTGATGTCCGTCCTCGCGTGCTCCGGCAAACCAAGCTCATCCTCGTTCGCCTCGGTAACTCCTTCCCTCTCAGATCCCGTAGAAAAGCTGGAAGTATCCTGTAACAGTCATATACTTCCTGTCATCTCTCATTACATGCAAGCATACGTACCATGATGCCAATCTCCACAGCGAAGCCTTGGAGAGCGTCGTCGTCAAGCTGCTGCAAGTGCTGGACCGTTTGCAGCCCATTCATGTCACCACGCATTCGGAGCCTTTCCTTAAGATCCCGAAGCTCCGTTTCGGAGGGGGTGGACATCCAGTAGAACATCTCAACAAGGGCGAGATGCCACGGCCGCATGTTCCCCTCGGTTCTCTGCTTGGCGTAGACGCTAGCATCACAAGGCCCTCAGTTAGTATCAAACAAGCCCAGGAGCAAAAGGGTTCTCTCGGACAACGAACCTTTCCACCACTGCGAGGCGCTCCCACAGGAGGCTTGCGACGGTATCCACTGTGTCTTTGGCTATCAAGCCGCCAAAGAATTTGTTCTTTGTGCCCAGTGCTTGCAGCGAGCCCTCCGTCTCCCAGATCGTGACAAAGGGCTCCACTGCCCGCAACACCCCAATGTGGTACGAGCTTTCTGGCACATCGAATGGATTTCCTTCCCTTCCCTTACCAGTATCGGCGCTGCGCTTGCGCTTCCCCGCCATTAGGGTAAACGATAGTTCTTAAAATTTACATATGCCATGATCGGACGGTCGGTTATGCATGTTTACCTTTTGGGTGAGTTTCTTTTTTAAATAACTTTTGCTTAGCTAGAATATTCGACAAATATTGCTGGGAAACAACTCAAGGTACCTATATCATTTGAAGAACCTGGTTTTGCCTGCTCGATTTTCAGGCTCAGCAGCAATGTCCGAGCAGACTCTCATCGACCAATAGCTGAGCTCAATGATAAAGATTGATTCCAGGAGATGGATATATTCTTTTTTTCGCCTCCCGATAGCCCTCTTCCTCCATTTTCTCGTTCTTCGAATCCTCTCCTACCGCAAGCCCCTGGCGGCGCCGGAGAACGCATCGATGCTGCCAGAGATGTTCCCGAGCAATCTGTTAAAAAAAAAAAAGCTTGAAGCGGAGAAGAGAAACAAAAAAAGAGAAAATTACCTCTTGCGACGCTGGAGAACGAAATCCTCAGCTGTGCCTCGCAGAAGTTGTATTGTCTCGCCACGAATGGGCCAGCCTCGATCCCCTGGCGGTGTTTGTATGGAACCACTCTTTCTTCTTGAAGATACAAGGAATGCAGCCGCCACAGGGATCACAAGCAGCAAGGAGAGCCATAACCTCTCTCCTTGGAACCTGATAGCTTCTTGCAATGTTTCGGACCAAAACCTGATAGCTTCTTGCAATGTTTCGGACCAAACGAGGACTTCTGTAACTTTTTCCGTTTCGGCAATTTCTCAAAAGAAATGCCGCCTATATGTTACTCATCAAACGAGAATCTGGAACAAGCTAAATGTCTTTTGACAGCATAAGAAACGTTGGCATCACCTCGAGCGAGCTATTTAATCTGCATTTTCCAGTTATTGACACGTCTGTAAATCCACAAAATTATAAGATCGATCATAAGCAGCTAGCTTAGCTTAGCTTCAAAGCAAGTGCTTTCGGAACCAAGCTATAAAGTCTTCGTGAGCCTCCTCTGCGTTCTTCACGGCGGTTTCGCTATTCACATCGTAGCGGACAGTCCAGCCATGAGCAGTTCCTGGGAAAACCTTGACAAAGTGATCCTGCGGAGGCAAGGGATTGTCAGATGAACATAGAGAAAGAACAAGAAAATGAGTGGAAGGAGAAAACTTTACCTGGTTTCCATGCTCGAGGTGTTTCTTAAATTCATTCACCATATCTACTGGCGTTACATGATCGGTTTCAGCGGCGAGGATCGCCAGTGGTGCCTTGCATGCTGCATAGAAAATTTCTCTCCACTTCTTAGCATTTAGCAAGGAGAAACAGCGGAAACTTGGCCAACCTTTTATATCGTCTATAGTAACCATCGAAGGGTGGCACATCACAAGTGCATTGCAGGTGGTTTCCTTGGAAGCAAGGATTACAACCTTGGCTGCAAGAAAAAAAAAGAGAGTAAAAAAACGCGTTCTTTCTCTGGGACGAAAGAACAATGAAGAAGATTACCTCCCCAGCAAAATCCGGATAAGCCTATAGAAGTTATGCCTTTGGACTGAAGCACAGACACAAGCTTCTTGCAGTCTTCCAGTGGCTTGAGCTGGATCAAAAACAGAAAATCAATCGACAAATCGAATAGAGAGAAGCAAAAAGCTTTACGTGGGGTTTATGGCCTTGAATCCATGTTTGAAACGGCACGGAAGCATCGGGATCGAAGACATCCCCGTACAAAAGATCAGGAGCCACGGCAACAAATCCAGCAGCCGCGACTTTGTCCGCGAGCTTCCTGAGAGCAAAGGAAGGAGAAATCAAGAGCAAAATGAGAATGCCGCCATATACCTGAACAGTGGAGTCTTCCATCCTGATTGCCGGAAAGAAAATTTAGTCCTAGGAATCAAAGCTAGGGATGGAAATTACCAAAGACATCGGAGACCAGAATGACTGCGGCAGTGGAGGACGCCGGGTGATTGACATAGACATCGATTCCCTCCCAGGATTCTTCGCCGCCAACGGAAGAATGCGTCGATGGAGGAGCCGGAACGCAGCACTCGGGGCCAGCCATAGCCAGATATTTTGCGAAAAACCTAGGTAAGAACAAACAAAATAAAGGTAAACTCCTATCGACCAAACCTCGAGATCCAAGAGCTTGGCGTGCTCTGGAATCAATGAATCCAGTTCCAGTCTGTGGAAGAATTGCCAACAAGAAATTAATGGATCCATCAATCACGCACAAGAAAGAAGATAATTGGCAGACCCATCATTGAATGAACCGTTCATTGAAAATTCTATTATCTTCTACTAGCACATCCCTCGAAAGCCTGCAATCGCCTTAAGCTTCCAGGAAATCTTCGTGATCTTCCAAACAATTCATGATCTTCTACTAGCACACTTTTGCGCCATGACTTCCAAAAATTTTCTACAGTGAAGTGGGAATCACAAGAAAAAATTGGTGTCCGATCTGCTGGAATCGAACCAGCGGCCTAAGGATTTCTGGAGCGCACTACAGTCCTCCGCTCTACCAACTGAGCTAAGATCGGATGCTTGAACAAGGCTCTGACAAGAAGAAAGTTGTCAGTGCTCGAATATGCAATGCCTATTGCATATAGAGGAGTGATCAAATTGTAAGCAACCACTCTCCGATCTGCCGGAATCGAACCAGCGACCTAAGGATGTCTGACCAGACACTACAGTCCTCCGCTCTACCAACTGAGCTAAGATCGGCTTGGGAAAAAAATCCCATTTAAGATTAATTAAGCGGAAGGGTCCCCTTGAAGAATATCATTCGAGCCTATCCGAAGGGATAAAGCGAAGAAATATCTCTACCCGTAGAGTTCTCTTTTTCTAGCTATCGCTTCTACCTAGCTGACTGGCAGGTGGATAGATCCAGGATTTGGAGGGCTAGGGTTCCTTGGCGCGTGGGATCGAGAAGCGATGAAGCCTAGCCGGAGCGATGAGATCCAGTCCCCCGAGGCCGAGCAGCGGCGCGCAAAGGAGGTCCAGGCGCACTTTGAATTGATGGCGCCCAAGCGCCCGATCAAGCCGGCGCGCAGCGAGCCTAGCAGCAATGCTGGAGGTGCCATAGCTGCTGCTGACGCTCCGGCGGATCAGCAGATTCCAGAGCACGCCAAGCTCTTGGATCTCGAGGTTCGGTCGGAGGTATGGGATTCTTTGAAGATCGGGATTTCGCAAGAGAGTGGCTGAAATTCTTTTTCTTCCAGCCTTTGATCACTCGTGGTGGGCTTGTTGGAGACGAGAGCTACGCCGAGAACGAGTACTACAAGGATTTGATCGCGGCGGAGAATGGGCAGCATCACACGGTCAGTCAGTCCTTCGCTGCTGCCAATTATCTTCTTTCTTGTGCGTGATTGATGGATCCATGAATTTCTTGTTGGCAATTCTTCCACAGACTGGAACTGGATTCATTGATGCGGGGGCTGCTCAAGGTTCCTCATTCCAGCTTGTGGATGATTATGGCAACGCTCCATTTTCATCCAATTCTGTCAAATCCAACCCCGCAACCAACGATTGGGTGCCTGCTCCGGTAAGAAATTCGCGAATACCAGGCCTCGATTCTCACTGATTGGGATCAAACACTGCCAGGGACTGGCACCATCGACCAAACCACGACGACGAAGCGATTAAAAACACAAATCAAAGAAGACGCAAAGAGAAGATAAGATTGTTTATTCTATTGAAAGCAAAGGAACACAAATAAAACAAGGCAAGTGAATCTTTGTCATAATCGTCACCCGCCGCCTGTGAGAATCGAACGCACGACCACGTGGTTAAAAGCCACGCGCTCTACCTGCTGAGCTAAGACTGCTTAGCAATAATGCGACACTCATAATCCGGAATGCGATATTTGGAAGCTCAAGTACGCAGCGGGCTTGAATGAGCAATAAGAAACCAACATGTAAATAGATTGATTGATCAAACATGATCCAAACACAATAGATAATAGCAAGAACCACAAAAGATAATAGGAAGATCTCTCTCTCTCAGACACACACACACCCTCATACACGCAAAAGAAAGAAACAAACAGCAGCAAGCACACATATATTACCTGGGAGGCCAGCGCTCTCTCAACACGGACCTTGGTGCAAATCGAACTTCCCAGCGGCAGAATAAAAAGTCCGATCCTCTTCCTTTGGCTGACCTCACCAGTAGAGCAGCAAGACTTAAGACTTAGACCATACGATAGATACGCAGACCAAACCGTTGAAAACCCCCCATCTTCTTCTCCTTCGCAAGATTCTCCATCGTCCTTTCCCTCGGCTGGAGCTTCCAAACTTCTTCCAAAAGGAAGAACTTTGATCGATCGAGCTCGAGCTCGAGCGCGAGCTTAGCAGCAGATCATGTTGGGGTAGACGAAGGCATCCAGGCGGGGGCTGAAGGCGAATCCCTGCATGAATCCCTGCGCCGGGTGCTCGATCTCGCCCAGGAACGGGCAGCGCGGCAGCCATCGCCAGAGCTTCTCGTAGAAGTCATACATGAGCACCTCGGAGCACTCCTGGATGGTGAGGAGGATGTAGTTGCCATGGCCGATGCAGTAGAAGGCCCGCTCGCAGGAGATCCGCATGAACTCCTCGTACAGCGCCTGCGGCATCCTCTCCAGCTCGATCCACACGCTCTTGGGGTGCTGCAGCCCCCAGATCCGGATGCTCTTGGGGACGTTGAGCCTGTTCTTCTCCACCGCCGCCACCATCACCAATCGCCCGCGGCACTCGACGAGATTGGGCGTGCGCAGGAAGCGCCGCATTGGCGCCTGGATCTTGTTCCACGTCCCGGACTCCACGTCGTAGGCCAGCACTCCAAACGGGCTGTAGTTCATGCAGTAGAAGCAGCCGTTCGCGAAGGTGGTCTTGGCGGACTCGAGGTTGCACAGCCGGGGGAGCGCTCCCGCCATCCTCCAGCACTGGATGCTCGAGTCGAACACCTCGCTGCTCAGGTTCTTCACCGCGAATGGCGAGATGAGATCGTCGCCGGCGACGAGGAGCTTGTAGCCGCGAGTGTGGCGATCCACGACGAGGCCCACGGTGGGGACGAATCGCTCCTTGAGCGTGAGCGGGAGCTGGATGCAAGCGCGCGTGAGAGGATTGCACATCACGACCGTCTTGTAGCCGGCCATCTCGGACATACAACAGAGGAGGCCCTGCGAGGACGAGACCACGGCGATCTGCGATGGGAGGAAGCCCAGCGGCAGCAAATGCCAGGATCGCTCTCCGGGATCGAAGAGGAAGCCCTGCGACCACACCCCGGGCCTGAAGAGGAGGAAGCAGTGCCTCGAGGGGGCAACGCGCGAGCTCAATTCAAGAAAGCTGTCGGAAAAGAGGAGCGAGTACCAGCGCTTGCAAACCACGCGGAGCCGGAAGAAGCTGGGCAGTGGGAGCATCGCCAGGACCCTGTCCACGAGCTTCTCCGGGAGCTGGCTCCATAGCCGCTCCTCCAGGAGAGCTTGGTGATGGTGGTAGTGATGATGGGCGAAGACAGTACCACCACCACTATCGCCATCGCCGCCACCAGCGGTGATCTTGTTCTTGGCATTCGAGCTGGATTGGATCAGGAGCTCGTGCTGGTGGTGGTGGTGGTGGTGGTGATGCTCGTCGTCATTGCTGGTGGTGGAGCTCCCGATGATTTGCTGGGGATCGAATCGGAAGCTAGTGGCCCCTGACACGACGAGCCCGGCATGATCAAGCGCGACGTGGTACCCGCTTCCACCGTCGAGAAGAATGTGGTGATGAGAGATCGTATGCGATACCTGCGTTCCTCCTCCGCCGGTGCCGCCTCCTCCGCCTCCTCCGCCTCCTCCTTCCATCAGCTGGAGCCGCTGCGCAGCGGCCATCATCCTTTCTCTCCCTCGTCACACTCACACCCACACACACACACACACTCGCAAATCCTCTAAATCTCTCGCTCGCGTCTCACATTCTCAATGCTCGGCTCTACTCAAGAGGAGGAAAAGACGATCGACGATCTGGAGAAAAGACTTGCGAGCCAAGCGAGAAGCGAATCGAAAAGAAGAAAGCGTGAGGGGAAAGAGGAACACTTGCGCTGCTCCAGATAACGCCTCTCGCTGCTGGCGCTCTGTGCTGTGCCGCTGCGCTGCCGCTCTACTGCCTAAGAAACTGAGCCCAAAATTCGTAACCATCATTAGCGAAAAAGAGAAGAAATTTTGTTCGAGCCCAACGCCAGGCCTCCCTCTCAGCCCAGGCAGCTAAGTAGAGAAGGGCATAAAGTGGGGACTAGCAATTTGGTAATCGCCGAGGGAGATACGATTAGGGTACCCTCTTGCTCATCAGATTTATGACGCGCTGCACGGATTCGAGACGCGCTGTTGTACTGCATTGTACTGCCGCCACACCGCGCGTCCCCCGCTGCATTCGCTTTGAACTAAGCGAAAGCCCTAACTAAACCCTAAGTAGCAGCCCAGATCTTCTCGATTTTTTTTTTTTTTTTTTAAATGATGCAATCCGAAATGAATACTCCTACTGGGTCCTTTTCTTTTTTCCATTCTTTTCTTTCGCCTGCGCTGATCACCACCTCCACTTCTTTCTCTTTCTCTCTGCCACCCCCCACCACTGTCGTCTTGCGCAAGAACCCTAAAACTCGATGATGGAGAGATGTTGCGTGCTGGTTCGATTCCGCAAGGGACACAAACGTTGCAGCTATTTTATTGCGATCACGCGTGGGTTGCGCCGAGTGCTGCATTCCCGCACCTCCATTCTTCCATCAGCCGGGAAAAATCGCCGGAGAAGATTGATGTTATGCATTCTTTCACGTTTTTGATTGTGGATATGCTTGTTACGATTGATTGGCAGGTTTGATCCTTACATGGCTCGAGTACTAGGCAAAATTTTTAGTCTTCCATTTGCGAAACTTTTTTTGGCGAAGTGTCGTTGTGGTTCCCGATCTTTCCCACGGGGATTCTTTTGATAATGATGCTCATTCGAACATGGCTGCCAAATCACCAACCTGATGTAGAAATTTCTTTTTTCTTGATTACAAGTATTATTTACCACGTACGGAATTTGCATATAAAAGTTCCGTGCATTGTTCGATCGGACAAGATTTCTTTCAGGCGAAACCAATCGAAGGCTCAGAAAAACTTGTTCATGTTTTGCATTCCAAGCAAATCCCTTAGGAGGTGATCTTCAATTCCACCACGTCTCGAAAACTTTGTGTCTGTTTTACAGCGAAGGTTGCGATTCCTTCGGAAAAGAATCTCGATGCAACGCACCTTGTAAATAATGATTAACATGCGTTGCTAAATTAATCAACTTTCTAACAGCATGCGCAGTACCAGTAGGAGACGCGGAGACCGACCACATGAAAGCCCCAGAGATTCTTGACGAGTTTTTAACAAACATTTCGTGTGTGTGATCTTTGCAAGTCAAGTATACACCGATAAAATACCACAACCAACGGAGAATGAATCAGCACTTTTTCCTCATGACTGGGCTGTCTGCTACGTAGGACCGCTTGCTGCGTCAAAAAAAACTTCCAGTTCGATCATTTCTCAACGACCGATCTTAGCTCAGTTGGTAGAGCGGAGGACTGTAGTGCTCATCAGATATCCTTAGGTCGCTGGTTCGATTCCGGCAGATCGGAGCATTTTTACCTCTTAATGTGTTTTAATTAGAGTATTTTTTCCTTTTATTTACTTTATTTCTAACACTTTAATTATAGAAGTTTTTTTTATCTCAAATCAATAATGACCGATCGTAGCTCAGTTGGTGGAGCGGAGGACTGTAGTGCTCTTCAGATATCCTTAGGTCGCTGGTTCGATTCCGGCAGATCGCAGCAATTTTTCCATCTTTTTCTATTATCACTTTAATTAATCTTAGAGTATTTTTTCCTTTTGTTTAGTTTATTTCTAAAAATCGTTTTCACTTAATTAAAGAAGTTTTTTATCTCAATAATGACCGGCCTTAGCTCAGTTGGTAGAGCGGAGGACTGTAGTGTTCACTCAGACAGCTTCAGGTCGCTGGTTCGATTCCGGCAGATCGGAGAGTTTATTTTATTGTTTCGGTCCTTCGGACAAGAAATCGAAGAAAAAAGAAAGAATTTGGCGGGGACAGGAGTTCGAAACCCTGGAGCGTCGGGATCGTGACTCGCGAAGGTACTTAGTTTTGTGCTCGGCTCGGCGGTGTCAGAGAGGAGGGAGAAGCGTGTCTCAATGAATGCGCCATTCATTCATGTTCTCTGCGCTCCATCCAGCGCCACTGAATTCCACAGCCGCTGCCGCATTGATTGCCGCGCGGCCGAGGAGAAAATGCTGCCCTGGCTATGGCGCCACGAGCCAGATTAGCTGCGGCCGAGCAAAGAATGGATTCCTTCCAGCAACGCCCGGCGTTTCCTCCGTGAGCTCATCCTTTTCTGGCCCCTAAATCCACCGATCAGGTTCGCGATTCGCAGTTTGATCGATATTCTTGCCCAAATCTCAGGTTTGTTTGCGTGGCAGCTGTGACGAATCGCACCGTCGACCTAACTTTCGGCCAGGACACAAGCACGAAAAAATTCCTTGGCATCACTTCTTTTTTGCCTCTCTCGCTTTCACGGAAAGTGGAGTCTTGCCAGCCTTTTGTGGAGGTGCGTATTTTTTTTTCTCTTTTTTCTTGTTTCTTAGATTTCTAGCTCGGCCGATTGGCTTACAGATGATCACAGGTTTGGTGGGTCTCGCTGGTTGGTCTGTTGGTTTGATTTGATATGGACCGGATTGTCGTTGTTAGCTTGTTTTTCGATTTCTTTTCTTCGTTCAAGTCTTTGCGGTCGTGCTTGTCGATGTCTTACATCAATGGTGCATTAACTGGAATGCATCCAGCTGCACCAGTGGCAGCTGCCGCTTTTCTTTTGTTGTGATGCATCTATCGGTCTCAGGTTTGCTGGTGTTTGATGGATTCTTGAGAAGTCGAAGAAGTGGTTGAGTGATCACTTCTAAAGGACTTCGCCTTCTGTGCTTTTGTCTGAGCTCCTTTCTGGCGATTTTGGCAGGGAGAGCCTTGAGAATACGCGACGAGGGTGCCAGTCGATGGGGATTTCTATTGCCGAGGGTGCAATGTAGCTAGATTTGAGTCCGAAGAGCAAAGAAGATGCAGCTGTCCGAGGTTTGGAAGCAAATTGGAAGCGTGGAGACTGCCGCTACTCAAAGTGAGTGGTAGATCTCAGCTCTTGGATAAGCTATATAATGGTCTGCTTGTTTCGTGCTTCTTCCAGGCATGTCCGAGGAAGTAGCTAAAGTTCTCGGGCATCACAGGCTGGGTAGTTTCCTCATGCAAGGGCATGACTACGATCTCTCAGAGTCTTTTAGAAGCAGGACAGTTCCGGAGGAAATGATACGAGATGGAGATTGCAAGCAGGATGTCGATGACGAGCCAGTCAAAGAGCAGCCGCATGCCACGGTGTCGTACCTTCAATTGTTCAGCTTTGCGGACTATCTCGATTATGTGCTTATCTTCCTGGGTACCGTCGGTGCCTCGGTCCACGGAGCAGCTATTCCCGGGTTCTTCGTCTTCTTTGGGAAAATGATCGATGAGTTCGGCAAGGATTATAACAATCCACACAAGATGGGGCACGAAGTTAGCAAGGTAAGCTCTCGCATTGTTTTCTTGGTTTGTCTAACGCTTCCGTGCTTTAGTATTCTCTTTATTTCGTCTACTTGGGCTTGGTGATCCTGGTCGCAGCTTGGCTTGGTAAACGTCTGCTTTTGTCAACTGGACGACACTTACGTGACAGTTTTCCATGTGCAGAGGTGTCCTGTTGGACTTACACTGGCGAAAGGCAATCGTCACGCATGCGAACTCACTATTTAAAAGCAATGTTGAGTCAAGATGTCGGTTTCTTTGACACCGATGCCACCACTGGTGAAATTGTTATTGGGATATCTAGTGACACGGCACTTGTACAAGAGGCAATCGGTCCCAAGGTTTGTGTCTCCAGGTTAAGCTTTGCTTGAAACTACGTGAAGCTGTGGTGTGCAGGCTGGAAACTACGTGCATTACATGGCGAGGTTTTTTGCCGGTTTCGCGGTGGGATTTACGTCTGTATGGCAGCTTACGCTATTGACTTTAGCCGTCGTTCCTGCAATTGCTGTTGCCGGAGGAGCTTATGCATACACAATGGTCGGGCTAACCACCAAAAATCAAAAGGCTTACGCCAGAGCGGGGGAGATTGCAGAAGAGGTATTTTATCTTGTCCATTTTACTCTTTTACTTACCTGTTTTGTTCTTACAACAGACTATTTCTCAAGTTCGAACTGTTTACTCGTTCGTTGGCGAAGAAAAGGCTCAGGAGTTGTACTCAAGGGCTCTAGAAACAACCTTAAAACTCGGGAAGAGCGGTGGATTGGCCAAAGGACTTGGACTTGGAGCAACCTATGGCCTCACCTTCGGTTCTTGGGCACTACTACTATGGTATGCAGGAGTTTTAGTCAGGCACGGTACAACAAATGGTGGCGAAGCGTTTACGACCATACTTAATGTTGTTATCAGCAGCCTGTAAGTATCTGTTTTCGTGCATCTCTACCGCAACTTACCTGGTTTTGTTTTTAACCAGTTCCTTGGGAAATGCAGCTCCGAATCTCGGCGCTTTTGCCAAAGGCAAAGCTGCCGGATATAATATACTGGAGATGATCAAACGAAAACCAGCAATTAATCCAAACACTTCGGACGGCAAGACAATCTCAAATGTGCAAGGAAACATTGAGTTTGTGGACATACATTTTAGCTATCCTTCGAGACCAGACGTAACCATTTTCCAGAAGTTATGCCTGAAGATCCCCCAGGGAAAGACAGTGGCGATAGTCGGTGGCAGTGGTTCCGGTAAAAGCACGGTGATAGCGTTGATCGAGCGATTCTACGATCCTATGTCTGGTAAAACTTGAGTCGTCCGTTTTGACGTTTTCTAAATCATTTGGATTCGTTGCAGGCATAATCTTGTTAGATTCTCACGACATCAAGACGTTGCAGCTCAAATGGCTACGGAGTCAAATTGGTCTTGTGAATCAAGAGCCGGCATTATTTGCACCACTATTCGTGAAAACATTCTACTAGGAAAGCCCGATGCAAGCGACGACGAAATCTTCGAAGCTGCTACTGTTGCTGGCGCTCATGCCTTCATCCAGCAACTGCCTGATGGCTACGAGACTCAGGTTTGTTAATTTCACCTATTTTTCTTGTGTATTAAGGAAGTTTCAGTGACCAGGTTGGCGAGAAGGGTGTGCAACTCTCTGGCGGACAGAAGCAAAGAGTTGCTATCACAAGGGCCATGGTAAAGAACCCTTCAATATTACTGCTGGACGAGGCTACCAGTGCGCTGGATGCAGCGTCTGAACAGTCGGTGCAAGAAGCTCTGGACACTCTTATGATCGGAAGAACAACCGTCGTTGTTGCGCACCGGCTGTCTACAGTCCAG